GAGTTCGCGAACCAGCTTGATCGAACCAAGGGAACGGGGGTTTATGGGGTAAAAATTGAGTTTTCCCATTTTTGACACTAAAAACTTAAAATGTAGCAATTTCTTTATAAACCATTTTGTAGAGCTTAAAAGCAAATAATTTAGTATATTGAAGCGTTAATTATGCGCCTAATGGTTACGGAGAAAATTCCAAAAATCTGTAAATTTAAAATTTCCATGTTATACATACTTAGAATAAGTGAACTGTTGTAGTTTGCTTGTTTATATACATATTTTAATCAAATTTGGAAAATGCATTCATTTCATACTAAACTATTATCATTTTACAAAAAAAAAAAACAAAAAAAACACCTTTTTACCCTCCCTGTTGCAGCAAACCTAAGTACTCGTTAAACTTTGATGGTTCAAAACTGGACCCATCTGTTCCTGATCATTGGGCTTTAAATAAATGGTCCTGGCTAATGAAACAGCTGATCTTAGTCAGTAACAAAGCTACACAGATCATCTCACACCATTCTATACTCATATTTGGGTTAAAATACGCACCTAGGTGGCGTCCCCATATCAATTGATATTGATATTGATATATATCGAACCAATGTTATTTAAATAGGGAATAAATGTGATATTTTTACAGAGACATTTTAGCGTAAATCCAATCAGGCAAGTGGAAATTCGCTTAGTCTGCAGGTTTGCTGTGTCGGGGGTATTTTTAATTATAATTGGCACTTTGTGATACATTAATTGGAGTATATACGAATGTTACTATTGTTTAAGCGATGTAATACAAGTTTACAGCTCAACATTTCAAATTTTGATTACATATTAAAAATTTGAACTCACGTATATTTTCCCCTTAGTAATTATGAAACATAATTTTGCAAACTTCAGTAGCAAAAAGGTTTTCTAAACATATACATCTTATAACAAAACTAATTTATTGGTATATCAACACTGATTGCAAGTCCTCTTCTCGATTCAAAGTGATTCTGATATTTTGATTATACTTTCATTATATTTTGACTCTATTCCAGTGATATGAAACTAGCCTAGGCTGTTTCTGAATAAAGGTACTTTTTGGCATAACCTTTAGAATAGTATCATTTACATTTTTGTAATTACTAACAATTAATTATTTCGATAAGTTTAAGGGATTAATCCCCTAAAAGATATTATTATGTTTATTCTTATTTAATAATCTATTTCTAATTTTCAAATTATTAATTAAATCGGGGCCAAACCTAAAGCAATGCGATTCATTTTTAATACATTTAGAAATTATTCTATTTTTAGCAAATGTGTTGCTTAACAATTACCATAGGGTGTAAGGTAAGTTTACTGATGTTGATAAGTATAACTACCATTTAATGCAACAGAAAAAATGTATACTTTACGCATTATCGTTGGTTATGAATTAAGTATAAAAGAATCATTTTTTAAAGTCAATCTTTGCTCGCATTATTTAGTTGTCTTAGAAGTTCATACACATCTAAATCTACTGATTGATATTCCACCACAGCGTCTGCAATTTTCTTCTTTGGAAAAGCTGTTGTCCAAGCGACAATAATAATGAACGAGCGGCCGACCCTCAGAACAATGGACTGAGGAGGACGGGCAGCAGGTAGGCTGCCGAGCAGCTCAGCCCTACTAGGGGTAGCGTTTCAGGGGGGGACGATTCCGGGGTGTACATAGGGGATGCCTTGCCGGGGAAGACCTTTCCGTTTCTACTTGTTTGAATTAAAATTAATAACACAATTAGTTCATATCAACTAGATTTTCATAAATTACTCGTCAAGCCCTTGGGGGGGAACGATTCCGGTCGTGGACATATATTTTATACCAGCTGGTTGTCTGGTTTCGTGACGTCACGTTTAGCCTGAGGGGTGATGTTTCCGGGGGCGACCATTCCGGCGACCCAAATTATTCATACCTAATAATATTTAATCAATACATGCTGTCAAAAGTATAATTTAAGTCTATTCTAGGATTATTTTTTGAAGAATGAACATGTTTGTACAAATTAAAAAAATTATTTGTAGGCTAAAGTTGTTAAGGAATGAACGTACGAGTATTAAGATTTCAGGCAACAAAAACTATTAAATGATGGAGGTAAAAGTTACATTAAATCAGCCTTGAAGATTTTTAGGACCTTAAAAGTAAATACAATTCTACTCAACTTTCTTATCCATTTTGTGAAATAAAAATACAAAGATTAATTTCCTAAACCAGGGCCCCAAATGTTTAGAGGTTAGGCCTAGTTCAACTGAGTTTAGTGACACAGTAAAATGTATTGAAAGAAACAGATAAATAGTTCAGATAAATAGTTTAGCTCAAACAAGTCGCAAAGACTAGTGCTTGCATCTTAACGTCTGTAAGCTTTGAGAAAAACATTTTGATATTGGCTTCCTGGAAGTGGCCGGATAAACAGAAGACCGGAAAAACCAAGGCCGGATATCAGGGGTTCTACTGTATATATATAGATTTTCCGTTGATAACTTAAAATGCATGAGCGATTTAAGGACTTTTTCCGGTTATGAAATTGCACGTACCACTCAAGTTTTTCGGGGTATTCCGGACGAAAGGGAGCGTTATGTAATAAGAAAAGTTGATATTATTAATTTATTTTCAGGGTGACAAAATTTGACTTGGGGTTGGATTTGCTAAAAAATCAACAAGCCAAGTTTCATACCTGTCAGAATTCCCTGACAGAAAGATCCTTCCATAATTTCAAATTTACCTGTTCCCGATATCTGAATTTCAATCAAATTACACCCTTCAATTACACATTAATATAACAAATGTTAACGTTTGCAACTTCCTTTTTGGAAATTTTTTTTGTGCAATTAGTACCAGTTTCGAAACCCAGGCATCAGTTTTGGCCAGGAATCACTGTTTACTCTAAAAAGTGGTATGCTTCAAACTAATCACTACTTTATTTCATCATTTATTAAATTTGTAATATCATGACATTGCAGTTGTTCATAGAATACGAAATCCCTATAGCATTGTAGCAAACAAACTGTTATTTCCATTCAGTATTTAATTCATTTACCTCAAGCAGTACATGAATAAAAAATAAATACAAACTAAATCATTGAACCTGGACTCATCTACTAAACATAAATCAAATGACTAAAATATACCAAAATGTTAATAAACAAACCAAAGGGTTGAGAACCATAAATAAATCAATATTAAGACGAACTGAAACCAACAAAACCCAACAACGACCTGAGACAAATGAATGGATGGTTAGTAATACATAACTCAATGGAGCAATACTGACAGATCCAGACGGGCGTTAAATAATAGTTAACAGACATACAGAACCATTAGTGACTATACCACATCACATATATCATACTACATGTTACACACGTCATCAAATCATCACAATCATACATACGTCATCATATTTCAATCAAACCACATCCCCTGTGTTCAGACTATATTGTACTGTGTGTTGTAGTGTGTTGTCTAGAGACGTTTACATAACTATCATTGTACTACTAACAATAGTAACTTAAATGTGTTCATATGCAAAATTTCAGCAGTATGTTTTAATATTGAAAATTTTAAAAAACAAGAGGGATTAAATTTGCAATAACCAGTAATGAATATTTATAGCCTCTTTCGATGGTATGCCTTGTTGTATAAATTTCGAATTCCTTCCTTGGTGCGTTTGAATATTGTCCTTTCCAAGAACAATATAGGTTTGAGTTACATCTCTGTATTTACACGTTTTTAGTAATACATAAACTAAAATTGTAATCCTTTAAAATAGTTTCAATCTGCAAACGTGTGTATAGGCAAATCCTAAATCGAGGATATACTATAATAAGGGAATTAAAATAATATTACAACCCTTTTAAACATCTCGTCAGTGCTTTCGTGGAACTTTATTTAAGATAAAATTACATAAGTAACCATTTAAAAACATTTAGTAGGAAATACGTTATGTTATGCGATAACATTAAAGCAATCAATGGTAACTGAATCTACAGAATAATAAGCACTGGCATTTTTGTAGAATATTTTCACTATGAAAAAACAACTTGTAGGCTACATCAAAATGCAATCATGATATGACGTTTTTCCACAACAAGGAAAGAACATTAATTATATTTATTTCTCAAAATAGATTCAAACAAATGCAGATTATTTTATTTTCCAAGCTTCATCATAACTCATTTTAGATTGCAAACATCTTTCGCTTTAGGCATGCCTTTCCTTCATTCCTGCAAAATGCATTCTCTTAATCAAATACTCAACGGCAAATCTATTTCCTGGTAACACTAATGGGTTCTTCGTCAAAATCCTCGTTCAAGATCAAATAAAAACAATAATTAAAAACGTATACTTCTTGGTTCCAAACGAAATTACGAATTAAGAGGACATTTTAATTCGTAACAAAATACTGGGTATAAGAAAAAACGACGTAAATAATTCATTCTAAATGTACACTTGCTTGCTTGGTGAATTTAGCAGTGGAGAATAACATACAAGTGTGGTATGGAGAAGCCAAACGTTATTGCAACTTGTTTGCGCAAAATAGTGAGAAAAGGAAAGACCACATAGGGGGATGATGAACCACATAGGAACATTACTTGCTGCATAAAACACTCCGGTCCCTACAGAGGTTTACAAACCAAACCAGACACTGTTGTCAACTGTTTGATTCAAACTAACTCATTCATCCAAAATACAATGAAATTTCGTTAAGCACAATCATTTATGATTCGGTGCCTCTAAAATGGTAAATTAAAAATATTATATTAAAAGGCTTTAAGAGTATTAATCACACAAAATCACAAAAAAAGTTATTAGATTATGAGTTTAAAACGAAATAATTATTACATTAGTAGTTTTAACACGAATCAGTAAGAAACATTTACCACACTTCCATAAACACCGCCTAATGGTAATCCGTGCAAAATATGACACAAATATGGGTAGTGATGCCCACTTGTTGCACGGACTGGGATGCTACTCATGCTTACCTTGGGTTTGTTTGGGGACATAGGGAGCCAGCAGCCGCGTCCTCTTCTTCTCGTATCCTTTTTGTGTGATGTCCCCTGAAACGAAAATGGATTATTACAACATTGTAAAGATGTAAATTTTACTGGAATTATATGTACAAACATTATTAGAAAATCAAGAACAAGCGTGTTGAAGAAAAATATATTATAGGTTAACATGTTTTCACATAATTATACTAAGCCTCAATATGCACAACATACATATTGACATATATATATATTAACGTATATATATATATATATATATATATATATATTGACGTATATTAATTACATATACGCAAGACGTGCAGACGAATTCTATCACACAAGAAAAGAACGTTGGAGTTTCATAGTTCTTTACACTGATTAAAGAGATTTGTACGAATCTTACAAATTAAAACTCCATTACAAACACAATCAACAGTTGAGCGTAATGCTATCCCAGTTGTTAGCACCACGAAAACATCCATTACATGACATCATGGTGGATTTGATAGTTTTTTGTAAAGCGTGTAGAGATAATTTTTAAAACTATGTAACTGGAGTGTAAACTGACGAAAACACCTTTACGCCTACTCTGGAATCGTACACCACGTCTACTCCGCAAGCGGCTCCGTTGTACATGATAAAAGTGAAAGCGTGATAGCGACTGGTAGGAGGATGGTAGGTTGTGTGGGAGGACGAGCCGATGACCTTGAGACCAATGACCTTGGGTGGGCGATAACACGGTGACTCAGCCTCACCTGCGGGAGTGCAGGCACACCCGCCACCGCGGCCTTGACGACGACCTGTGCAAGGTGGCGAACGAAACGTCGCCAAGATGATGATGCTACACGTAGATCCTTCTTCATTCCTTATCTATACCCCACTGAAGTGTGGAATTGGCAAAATCTCGTAAAATTATTTAATAGAACACAACAAATTATCATTTGAAAATCTACGGTGAGGATAATACAATAGATTAAGGAGTAGACAAATATTGATTTCAGTATATCACACGGCTTAAATATTTTCTTCTTGATCACGGTCAAATTTACGTACCACATTTCAGCAAAACCAGTTTACAATTCGTGGTTTTTAACAACGAAAACACTCGGCGATTATGTATTGAAAAAAAAAAACAACAAATTATTGGCTGTTTAAGACAATCCAATGGTGAGGTTAAGTGATTTTGATCCTCACATTTTTTATATACGAAAGTACAAGTTTCTTTTAGACTTTGGGACTTCGTTGCAGGACACCTTTGCTGTATAATTTCTGTATGTTTAATTTATTCAATTTAAGGAATCCATTTTACTGTTTTCCATCCCACCGACTAACCAAAGATGTATCATTCAGGATTTAAACTTGGAACTCAACATTGCAGCTTGTATTTCGCTAATGCAAATGAGACGGCAAACTGCATTGATTAGCATATCTGACTACGGTGAATACCGCTCGAAGGACATTCTCTGACCTTTTGACCTCAGCTTCTTGTACAGAGGGGATAACTTTGACAGCAGCAGAATTGCCAACTATATTGTCACATTGGTGTTTCCGGTACAAATATATAGAAAAAAATTCACGAAGATTGATGCTACGTCATGTCATGTCAAGTATCACACAAACAGTGCAGTACAGTACAGTCTACAGACAAGACTGTACACCAATCGCAATCATGATGAGCTACGGAGGTGTGCAACGGACTGGAATGTGAATCAGTTGCCAAACCGATACAGCAAACTGGTCAATACTACATTGTACAGGAACCTCATTGTAAAGTTTTACCATTGACGTTGTATTAATAGTTGAAGGCTTTACCAAACTTTCGTAGGGGTAAATTAGCTAAGGGGTTTTATTTAACATGTTAAAACATTTACAAGTTATGGTTTTAAATTAATTAGGAAGAGCATACAACATAAGTAGACATATTATCTATTTGTGGAGTACTATCGACTTCGATTGCAAAGTTACCACCATTCAGTGGTCAGTGATTTGAAGGCCTTGATATGACGGTTAACGCTCGCAGTTTTCTACCTCTTCATCATCCCACACTCGCACTTCATTATCAAGGCGATCCTGCAATACACATCACGTTGTGGGGGGAGTTTTACATTTACATGGGATTCAACATTATATTTCCATTGATTTCAATTTAGACGAATTCAAATGTAAAAGAAAGTAATGAAATATTAATGAATTTTTGAATTGGAGGAGTATTAATACATAATAGATGGACAAAAAAAGGAGACCATTTTGGGAGTTTATTACAAAAGTACTTTTCTCATAGCACGGTGCTTATGACGATCTTCTTTTCACCCCTTACAAATTTAAACTTTTAAACTTGTGGTCGGACCAAAAAGAGTTACAATATAAAAAAGCCTAAGTGACGAGACACACTATTGAACTTAACACTTGATTTGCCCAAATCAATTGTTTTGTGTGCTAGTACGTTATATTGATTTTTCATTAATTAAGTTGAGAAATTGAAGGCCTTGAGCCACAAACCATAAGCGGTTGTTATAATTCGTTTAATGCTTGAGTAGAGTATATTAGACGTCGTAGACTGGTAAAAAGCACAGAGCTCCTTTTATTCTCTGCTCTGTGGTAAAGAGACCGTCAACTTGACGGCGCTACACAGGCAATACAGGTACACACACAACACTAGCCTTGTACCTAGATTGTATCCTCTGCTTTGAAGGCGCTCTCTCACTCAGCCTTTGGTCTGCTTCTACTTTACTCCTTTAGACGTCACAACGAAAAACATTCGGTACTTTTCTCCGCTAAATTACAACTATTGACTTTAGTAACCAACGTATGTATAGCAAAATAGTTTGTACCAACGTATTGTCAGTTAATGTTCTTCTTTGTTCATAATGGACTGTACATAATATTTTGGCTTAAGTAGTTTCATCACTTATTGATTTTCTAGTGATAACTATTTTTATTTCTTGGTTTTAAAAAAATTAAAGAATTGTAACTGCTACATCATCACGGCATGGCAACATTTACGTTATTCCAAAACCACGTCTCAAGTTTAATACTATTTTAACACAAGGGAAGATAAAAATATAAGAAACAAATTTTGGAAACAATTAGGTACACCCACAAATAACTGCCATAGAAAACAAAATAAAAATATTAAAATTCGTACAAGCGATTTCTTACTATTGTTAATAGAGGGCAATGAATAAAAATTTAAAGCATGGGGCTGAACAAAAAATAATAACCGTATACAAATCTGAAAAATGAGAACCTAAAATAGAAAAAAGGTTTGAAAGACTGATAAAATGGAGAATATATAAACAATTCATACTCTAATAGAAATCGACGTGAAAAATTAGAATAAGTTCAATACTGTAAACGGACCTCGTTTACTCAGCGTCTGCCACTATAGGAGCTCTTATAATACTGTAATGTAATTGGAATAACTCAACAATATAAGTGATTTTTAAATAGTCAGCAGATTTGTCTAAACATTGGGTTTATCAAATTCGAGATAATAATGACTCATTAAATCAAATTGTTACCAAATTATATTTTGTACCATTTAATGGTGGAGTTAGTGAGCAGATAATTTTGTGTCGTTTGTTACTTTCCTGAAAGTGCATTATTAGCCAGATAGCGTAGTTAAATATGTCTAAAACTACACGTTAGGGATATAATAACAATTCCTTAGTTCGTACAAAAACACACAACATTATGAGATTACCATTATCAACACGATACAAAGGCGGCTGTCACATAGGTGGAGCCCACCTGGTGATAGCAGATAACAGCTTTAGCACAGTTGACAACATTATCGCTATTTAATACTAATAAAGCTAAAAACACTCAATTGCATTTCACACATTTAGAGGTTAGTTTATCGAAATTTCACCTTCATTGGCGCATATGTTGTGGATACATTTATTGTTATTTCATCTCAGTTGTAGATATAGTGTTTCCTTATGTTTTACCTCTACCTTTAGGTATGAAATAAATGTGTAAGCTAATTTAAGTAGAAAAAGAACTGCATTACCAAAATGTGTTATATTATGTTTTAGATCTATTGGTGCCGAATCATGGAAGAGGATGCACCTGGAGATGTAGCAGTCTCCACAAAACACGTAGTTTAACCAAAGGGCAATTGAATAGTGTATAGACATATTTTAATTTAATGGTCAGTATATAATTATAGTCTGTTTTCAAAACATGTACGTACATGTATAATTTCATAATTACAAATAAAATGAAATATACGGAATAATACATATTTATTTGATCAAACGAGATGTTAAATTCATCAACCGTAATTTTCAGAGCTGCACTTTAGCACTTGTAATGGTTCAAAACATGTCTACGAGGAAAAGTAATTATGAAGGCGAACGTTATACTGAATGTAGTTGATTTTATTGCCATGTAAATTTTAAACTGTATAATTAATCACACTGGGATTACAAAAGTTTCGAATCCCATTTATTTTGAAAATTACATAAACCTTAACCACAAAGTAAAATTCTTGACTATGGATGCACTAGCGTTAGGGTTAAGCGCAATATAAAACCAACCCCCTCCAAACACCATCTCAGCTATAAGAAGTTAGCACATCACCCTTGCCCTAGTTTCCCGCCATTCTGCACAGTATGTCGCGCCATTACTCATCCCACAGCTGAGATATTCCAAGCATGTTCCGTCAAACACCCCAGATATCTCCGTGGCCATTTGTTTCCTTATTCCTACCCTTTCAAAACACCAATGTGAAGGTGGATAACGTCTCTGACATCTTCTATCGAACTGCGGGAGTGAAAAGCTATATTTTTCAGTTACGTGACATTATTTTTTAGATAACACAATGTGCATGCATTTCATAAAGATTCTTCAATGCAGTAAGACCGTTAGTTTTTTAGAGCATTTAAATTAAAATAAACTAAGTTTTTTTGCTGCGGCGGGGGTATTTTATTACTGTTTCCACAAAAACATATCAACACAAAAATATCATAAAACTCAAGATAACAGCCAGGGTTGAGACGGCAACGGGTATATGTAGAATCTAACTTATTTCATCAATGAATAATTTCTTTTATCAATGAATT